CAATAAAAAATCTAAAAAGATGTAAAAATAATGTATTCAGATATTTTACCATACAAACTCTTCCTTAGTTTTCATTTCATAAATATAATGGTATTAATATGACAATAATTAATGAGAAGCTAATAAAATGTTTCAGTGTTCAAGGTTTTATTATAGTGTTCGGCGATTTTCGTCCAAGATATACCTCTCTCTTTTGAATCTGGTCAGTACTTGTGAGGCTCTTCAACCAGTACTTCTCTGAGAAGCATAGTTTCGTGTTTCCTTTCCAAATAAAAAGTTCTCGTTTCGCTATCGCTACGAATTGAAGAAAGTCGGGAAAGTGTCAACCACATCACAACAATTCACTGTTTATATCCCTCATGTATGGTTAAAATTCAAAGGGTGAAAGTGCTTTTTAAGGCTCTCATTTTTCAATTTAAATTTATTCGACTGGCGATATGTTGTTTACGTGTGTAGACCTCAGAATTTCGTGAAAATAGGTCGACCAAAAAGTATCAAATACGAATGAAATCAGGGTTTGTAATAACATTCAATTCGATAAAACCTCTGTATACGGCTTTAAGTTTGCTTTTGCTGACTTAGAAAAAGACTAGGGTAAGTTTAAAATACAAAATACTCACCTTTCGAAACTCGTTCTCTAGAGGACGACTTCTGGTCAAAATCTCGTTGTCGACGAGCGGCGGACGACGAGTTTCCCGCTTCCGTGACAGTGTCACGGAGAGCTACGCATGCCCAATGTGAGCACGCTAGTAAAGTCGTATTCGTTCTCGTACCCGAATCTAAAGCACTCTATTAAAACAATCGTTGGCAAGGGAGCGGCCACGGAGAAAAAGTAAGGAGACTTTACAAATTATATTCCTCGCTTTCATTATCCTTTCCAAGTTTCTTTCTTTTTTTCTTTTGATAATTTTCCTCTTTTTGAACGGCCCGGGCTTACGCTTAAAATTCGATCTTGATATGTTAGGTCGTGTTAATGACCATTAGAGCCCAAAATCACACACAGTAAGCTTGGGCCACCTCTGACAAAAACTTGTGGTTTCAGTCTGTGATGGTAACATTAACATATTCTATATCATGATATGAACAAGTTTGTTATATGCTTTATTCACGGATATTCGCGACCGAAAAATCGCAAGAAGGGAGCAGAAAAATATCTCACCACCACTGCATTTGACAAGCGCTTGAGTGTGTTAAAAAAATCATGTATTCGTCAAATAAAATATTTTCTAAACACGGTAACTCATTTAGATGTACATATCTCAATGTATTTTGAGCTTGCCAGCTTTCCGATTGTCACAGTTCGATACCGTCCACGAATTGACCGCCAACTTGAATTTAACATTAAACTGCTGGCAACTTCAAACGGATGGCTTAAATGTAATCCATGAAGGTTTTCTTTAATGGGCCGATTACCATCTATATTTGTGATCTTCAAGTAGCAAAAAGTACGGACATCCTTCATTCGGCAGCAGGTTGTACGTCTTTCAAAATACCTGGAGTGTTTATGTATGGCGTCTGTAAGAGTTGTAACATCGAGGTGCCTAATTAGATTGTGTCACTTTGTAAATAAAAATATAATGATTTTCATAAGGTTCAGCCTAGTTTTTCCATGCGGAAGGGAAAATCTCCATACTAGCAACACTCTTTCCACTTATAATGAGCATAACCTGAACTGGTTCGGAGTTATAGTGCTTAGAGAAAGTGTTAATTGAAAAGTTGCTATGAACTGGGATGTTTGTTTTCTGAATTACTTGTAATTTTCAAAAATGCGCCATAAGCTCCAAACTAGATGAAATGATCCTGTTTTAGACCTACCAGTAAATAAACTATGCCTTAATCCCTCCAATATTAATTTTTCAAATTGAAACAATCTTGCCTTATATTGCACTTTTCAAGTGCAAAGTTCGTTTGCCTCTACTTGGGGCACTGATCTCTACCATTTTACAGCTATCGACGCTCATTTCTGTTTTCATGAATTTTCTAGAATAAAGAGGCAACTCTTGGGAAAAAAACTGTACCACATTTCCAGGGTCAGCAAAGGGTACGTCTGGGAAAAATATGATTTCAATTTTTTGATCATGTGCCACATTTTTTTATTTTCATTTGGTCAAATCATACTTTGCTCCTAAGGAATTTTTTACCAAAAATTGGAATATATCTCCCCATTGCCATGGTAATGTCATTAAATTGACAACCAAAACAGAAGCCGTATTATATCGTGAAGGTGTAGTCTGATCGTTCGGGTGAGTGTAGTCCTGAGAAGGACTGTTGTCGGTGGTAGTGACTGACGTTTCAACAACCTGTGCGGAAGTCTTCATCAGAGTCAAGTGAATGATTGTTGTCAGTAGAATGTTCTTATTCCAGTTGGTGTAAAATGATCGGTTAGTTTTGCCGTGATGTTATTGGCTGTAAGACTCAAGTGATGTAAATCGGTCGTGATTGGTCTGTTTCGATATGTTGGTAAAGTTAGGTCGTTTGTGATGTTTATTTGTCGTGAATGAGTCATTTGTATGGAGCGGGTAGTTGTTGACATCTGTTTAGGGGAGTCTGTTCTAAGTTAGTAAACCAGCTTTCCAGAGTCAGTCGTTGAAAATAGTCAGAGCTGTAGGTTAGGCATTGCACAGAGTCCCAGTCAATGTTGTGGTTGGTAAGTCGATGGTGTTCAGCAATGTGATTGCNCAACCTTATCTTTTTCATTTCGTCTCACCCTGTGGTATAGTTTTTTTTGTTAAATTTATTAGGGCTTAGTATTAGGATTTGGAAAGCTTTTCTTTTGCACCGACATGAAAAGAATTTGAGTAACATCTAGTATGCCAAACAGGGCTTTTTTACAAAGTTGAATTAGTCTCAATGGTTTTGTAAATTTTTTAACTTATGCACATGGTTGATAACCTGAAAGATTGTACTTTTGTAGTTTCCAAAAAGGGTATGTAAAAGATTTGCTGCACTGTTCACTGGTGAGAGATACTTTATCAAAATCTTTCCTTAACTATGTAACTTTGTTTTGATATTAACAAGTTTTGATTTCTATGTAGATATCTTGGTGGCCTCTATTTACAGAGCAGCTTGGAGAGGAGGTTGTATGAAGTGAAAAAATGAGACGAAGAAGACAAAGATTACTATCTCTTTTGATAATACTAGTCCTCATGGGGCTTTATGTACACATAAATTTAAAAAGATATTCTTACTACACAAACCAGTTCTGGAAACCTGTTGTTTCGTGCAAAAACAGGGAAGAAGAAATTAATGCTCTACTAGACCTTACGTATCAAATCCACACGATTTTAGATGAAATGAAAGTATGCCATTGGCTGATGTATGGCTCCATATGGGGCGCCCTGCGGATCGGCAGACCCCTTCCATGGGACAATGATGTGGACATTGGATTTGATGGAGAAGGAATATTTGCAGATATGACCTTAAATGAATTTATTGCTCCCTTCAAAGCTGCAAGACTTAGCGTGAAAAACAAATGGACTCAGAGTGGAACTTTTGTCATTTCAAAAGAGGGTCTGTGGTTATCTGTAGATTTATTTGCATACTACAATCATGGAGGAGTTATGAGAAGAAGAGGATTAGAGTCTTGGATTTTTGCTTTGAATTATCGCATTCATCACTCCTTTCCTGCCAAGCTAGTTGAACCAGAACTTCCTCAAACAAAGTTTGGATTCTTCAATATCTCAATTCCTAAAGGAGGAATTGAAATTATGAAGCACCTATACCCTTATAACTGGTGGAAAGTAGTTCCCCCAGCTGGATGTTGAGCATACAAGTTAACATGGGAAAATGTTTGTCCTACTTGAACCATTTACACCAGACATCAGAGTGAAAAATCTCCATAGACTTATCTGTATATTTCATATGGTATTAACAAGGAGAATTTGTAATCAAGAGCTTCCCTTGAGTTGGCAATTTTATTATTATTATTATTATTGTGTCCCTAATGTTTGAATTAGCAATGATACTTCAAGGAGAGATTAGGAAGTAGTCATTCTTTAGGGTAAAAGGTTAATGATTTCCTCTCCAGGGTAGATTTTGTGTTTTACATTGGCAGTGTGGCTGGGTGGTTAGGGTGCTGGTCTGGTAATCTGGTGGTCTAGGATTAAGCCCTCCACCCTGCTACTCAGTGGATTTGTTCTTGATTGTTCCAGTTCAACTCCTTGGCTGCACTTTCTACTTTTCCGACTGTTCTGTCTCCAGCAAGTTGAGATTTTTAAAATATTTTGTTCATTTACAATGTTTTTTACAATTTATTGGTATTGGGCCCAAAAAGCCCATTGGTGGAGGGGTCAGTTGATCTAATTTTTTTTAGTGAGAAAGATTGAAAAAAAAAATCTCTAAAATCGCTATTCCATAATAATAATTATTATGATGGAGAAGTGATTTTAGTGATTGTTTTTTTCAAATTAGTGCAGGATCAAAATGTTACTATTGTTATTACTAGTCTTAAATGTCTAGCCTTACAATGAAATTGATTTTACCTTTACTTTTATTATTATTATTATTATTATTATTATTATTATTATTATTATTATTATTATTATTATA